CATATCAGTATAACTGTGTTGAATTAACCAAAACCAAGCAAATAACTGAAAAGGAGTCGTAGTCTTTCAAATAAAGGCCTAATTTATACACATGTATTACTACCAAGTTAAATATCAATGCTTATCTGAACCATTATGAAGAGAATCTAGAAGACTGCTAAGCTTACAGGAAGTCATGAAATATTAAGGTCTGAATAATTCTGGGCATTTATTGGAAAACATAATACTAATCACATTTCAGTTTTAACGATAACCTAATCTAGGCTCCTATGAGCAGTAGATGTAGGCAGTGTAGGAAATCATCCGCGAAAACATCACATCATTCTACAATCTGTGTTGTCCAACAACTTGTTTCAATTAACTAGCAAGTAAAATACAATTTAAAAGAACATCGTTAGCATTGTTAACATTGGAGTTTAAAACTCCAAAAATGACCCTTAAAACGTCATAAGATATCCTTTGTTTTCGCGAAATTGTCATGGGAGCCAATCCTTGACCGGTAATTGTTCAGTCGAGATTTTCATACTTACTTTTGTCATTTTGAAATATGCCTCCATGAATTCTCAACAGTGCAAGGAGAATGCAACTAGAATGTTACTTTTTTCACTTTATGGCACTTTCAGGTGGCTTGACAGACACTTTCAAACACTTCAGACACTCAGTGGTGCAACCCACACCGATAGATCAAACCGATAGTTGTCAGTTTGCGAGAGTGCAATAACTTTTTTCAGTGTAGCAACCCGCACCGAGGATTCAAGCATTCAAACATCTTTTGAAGAATGTGAAAGCTCTTGCACAAGCTGCACTTCTAACACAAGCCTTCAGGTTTAGGTGTGTTGGCTTGTGTGAGGATCAGAACTAACTCGTGATACGATCATTGAAAAAAATTACTTGACACTACACTTACAACCCACAGGTGACCCAAGCTTTGTCACAGGCTCTGTCACAGTGAATAATTAAAGAGTTTGTATAGTGGTTTAGTTGGACCTGCTTTTGAGCTCCGTAAATGTAAATTTGTGTGAAATAATCAAGGAAATAAAGTCTTTCCTTCATAGAGAGTAGTCTGTGTTGTTCTCCTCGCGATTTGAGGCTGTTTTGATGTGTTTTAGCCTGACGCCCTAAATTACTGTGCATAAAATACTGGAAGGTCGGAAACTTTTGTTGACACCTGCTCAGTCCTCCCCATAGTCTTATAACACCAACTCTTCACACGTACTAAGGTACCCCGGGTAAGGTGATATTTGTAAAACTCCATTGAAAACAGTGAAGATTGACAGTATCGACGATCTAGTCAAGTCGATGAGTTTACCCGGGGTACCTAAGTATGTGTGGAGAGTTGGTGTTGGAAGACTATGGGGAGGACCCATTGAGAGAGATTTGACTGGGGTCCAGGTTGACCGCGCATTAACGGTCTCTCAGCTGCACAAGAGGTTCCTTCCACGCATTAGAAGAATTCAGAACGGCCGTTAATTTGAAATTCTCGCTGGATTGGTTTCTCGACAAACCATCTTTTGTGGGACTTTTTTCGGTGAACTTAAAGGGCAACTATTTGGCTTTCGTGCTGCCAAGTTTTGACTCGAGGGAAAGTATTTAAGTGTTG